ATCAAACTAATATGTGTTTGTGGTTGGAACCATGAAAGAAAGGTGAAAGGTGCACGCGGTGAGCATTGATAAAGAAAGAGGATAGGGCATGCTTCCGTAGTGGATTTGTAATAATTGAACCATTATAACCAAACTCAATTATACCAAAAATTGAAGCTCAAGTGCTCAATATTGATTTGAAAATGCAAGTAACAAGTCAAACAAATCACAACTAGCTATCCAGTTGAACACATCATCAACATTTTCCTTTACACTTGAACAACGATTAAGAACACATCAATACTTACTAGAGAATTTGACCCAATTATCACGACCATGATGCAATTTTAAAAGACAAATACCTCAAAGTTAAGTTATCTAGGTATGAGATAATTGTTCTTAAGTGACTCAAAGTTAAGTGAATGATTAAGATCCTTAGGAAAGAAGTAAGATCACCAAGGATAATGTTCGTTTATCTGAACAAGAAGTTCCTTGTCAAAAGTGCGACACTCTTGTCTTACCTCACAGAGTATATTGTTAAAAAACACAATAGGAGGACTATCTTTCTTAATATCACTCCATATCCCTATTCTTGAATAATCACAAGAAGTATTGGGCAACTTCTCTAAATGAGCCACTAGGAGATTATCATATTGATCTAAGAAGAACATACAATGCCCAAGGAAAGAACTCTGTATCTCCAATCCTTAAGAATAGTAAAGTCTTGGCCTCCCAAAAAAATTGGACCTTTATTTAAGAGGATCTAAATTTTGACATTAGAATTATTAGATGTCACAAGAAGTTTACAAGTGAAATGATTTATGATTTGGGTCGTCGCCCTCAGGAAAGGCATAAAACTTTTAGAATGACTGAATGATGTAAGACAGATAGCATTGAATTTTTCAATTGGGAATTTGGGGATAAAGAACCTAAACATCATATTTAAGGTTTTTAAGCATCATATCTAAGAAATCTTAAGCATTACATTTAAGAATTTGATTAGACTACACATCCAAAATTGAAAAGGCTCTCAAAATATTTTATTGAATACTTGAATGCTTTCCCAAGAAGTGAAATTAAATATATTCATAGTGCTCCCTAAGTAATCTTTACTAATTAAGAGTAAACAAAGACATCGTAAACTAATAAGATTAGGAAATTAATATTAATAATCGTAGATATACCAATCATAATACAAGTAGGAAATATTAAAACAAGTAGGAAATCTAAATACTAAAAGATAGAGTTACTAAAACTACATTAAGACTCCTAAATAGTATAATAGTTCTATATTTAGAAAAATTATTCTTTCTAATCTATTTAGCCATAACCTATTCCACATCATTTTTCTTTGGTTCGAGAAAACTTTGTCAAAATTTTGAAGTGGCAAAAGATGTAAAGCCTTGATCCTTGATCCTTGAGCTTTCTTATGAGAATTTAACAAACTTTGTGCACTCATTTTCCTTAATAGCAAATATAACACAAAAGCACATAATTATTGATGTGTATGAAATCCTAGTGGGAGAATGAAATCAAGATATCGACCTCGACTTGTATTTCATTTCTGAGCTGAACATCACTAGACCTAAATTATTGGCTTAGGTTTTTCCTTGCTTGAACTTCCATAGAAATTCTTTTAGGTAGTGAAAAGTCTTGAGTAACCTCAAAATCTGTATTCTTAGGAAGACATGATAGTCTTCTGGTTTCTCAACTTCAGTAGGCCCCTTCTCTTTATCATTTTCATTGACTGCTAGTGCTTTTGGATGTACATTTATATGACTCTTCTGTGGTCAAATTTTTTAAAACTCTATCCTCTATGCAAGCATAAAATGACATGTTAAGTATTTTGCAGGTACCATGACACATTAAGTATGGGTAGTTTCATCATGTTAAGTATTTTGATCATAAAGCCAATGGTGACTTAGAAGAATATGTACAAATATAACAAAACTATATCACACAAAATTAGATCATCGCAGGTACCGTGACAGATAGATACAAGACATTACTGAGTTACCAAAATTCTCGAACTATCCATCCAAGCTAATATATATGGTTGGGGATGGGGGTTGTGTTGTTAAAGATTGAGACATTCAACTATAGATATTAAAATAAGATTTCTGCAGCAATCTTCACGAATAGCAAGTTTCTTATGTTTATTTCCACAATGGACTACATTTTAAATTGGAGAATACTTATGATCATTTTTCACTTTAATTGCATAGTTGTACTTAGCTACTCTAAAGAAAGACTTGTCAAATTCTATCATCCTTGAGCGATATGTCATTCTGTTCCTTACAATTCCACATGTTTAAACCTTTTCCATCACAGTAAATTTTGTGAAAGATACTACAAAATAAGAAGAATAAATAAGAATACCTCACTTTAAACTCCTGAAAACCGATTTCAGATGGATAAATTGGTGTAGGTCGATTTAGTCAAATTCAGTTTAAAACAATCAAAATAGAATAGATTGAGCAAGGTTTATGATGGGTGTCGAATCCACCAAAAGTAAATTTATATTCAAACAACAAAATAATATTGTAGTAGCAGTGAATAGAGTCAAATCTACAGAGAATTGAGAACCAACACTCTCTTTTATGGCCAATATAAAAAATAAAAGTTGAGGGTTTTTGTAATTGAATCGAAGCAAACAAATAAAATAACAAACGTTAGAGCAATTAAAACAGAAAGTAAATCAGCGGAATAACGAAGTAAAAATAAGTTGTGAATGAGTTCTAGTTAAAAAAGTAATATCGATTTCAATGTATAAGATTGATCATTGATGCAAAGATAATTCCTACCAACATTCAATAAACCGGTTTTAGTTAATTAAGACGCTTATAACAACTAATCTTTTCTTAATCCTAAATTAATCAAGAGACACTCATTGAGATATCCTTACTAATAAATAACCTCAAAAACGCTCCTAAAGTTTAGTTTATTAACAGCCTTAAAAACTACAAATACTCAATTCTAACCAATGAAGTCAACCGTATGGTTTATTAAAGTCACATTATGTATCCCCTTAGTATGACACTAATTTACCACTGGTATCAAGATAGTCTGAATGATTACGGATTCAAGAATCGTGAATGGTAGTATGCTATCACGCTATATGCACAATGGGTCCTATTGAATAGATAATAGACAACAATGGTTGTATGCGCAGCAGGATAAACAAATACTATAGTTTAAATAAGCATAAAAGTAACACAATTCAATCTCACAATTCTGAAGCTAAAGTTCCAATTAAATCTCTAACTGGAAATAGCAAGGTTTAGCCGCTCATCTTGAGTTTGATACCCCTAATGTTGTTTATAGGGTTTTTCAGAAAGAAGAAAAAAATATAGAAAATCTAAGCTTATTGCAGTCCTTGACGGCTACTTCTCTTTTCCTTCGTTCTTCCTATTTAAAGGCCGAGAGGATCTGTTTTGCCGAGATAGGGTTTCACATGAGCATCTCGGCTTCTCTTTCTTGCTTTCCAAAATAATCTTCTCCTTAATCCCGGATTTTCTGCCTCCCAGATGTGTCGAGATCTCTCTTTTAAGTTTTTGAGGCGCGTCGGGTTTCAAATCTGCAGTTGTCAGCGTCTAAGCCTTGGCCAAGGCTTATCTATGCGCGAATTGGTAATTCCTCCGACTGTATGGTCGTTAACCTTGCCCGAGGGTTATTTGCATCTTGATCGGTGCTTGTCCACTGCTGCTAAAATGCAAGTCTTGCCCGAGACTTACATGTGCATTGGTTGGTGCTTCTACTGCCGTGATAATGCAAGCCTTGCCTTGCCATGATAATTCGAGGGAGCAACCTTTATGGTCAAGAATTGACCGATTTTTTTATCTCTAACGATTTGTTAATGCAGCTTGCAGGGTTAAGTCAGAAAGTGTCAAACATACCCATTTCGGACCATTTCCTCATATGCTTAACTCCGAATGGTATTATTTGGGGGCCCAGACCTTTTCGGTTGGATAATAAGTGGCTGAAGGTGGATGGTTTTAAAGAATTGGTGTCAAATGCCTGGCAGCAGTCCAGTGTGAAGGGTATGGTCAGTTTTCAGTTTGCTCATAAATTAAAGGCTTTGAAAAATAAGATTAAAGATTGGAGCAGATGTGAGTAGGGCAAAATGGAGAGGACAATTAGTGACAATTTAAAGAAAATTGAGCTGCTAGACCTGAAAGAATGGAGGAAAATTTTGGGGAGGGAGATAGAGAGAGAAATAAGTATATTAAAAAAGATTTAGCCACAAACTTGCATTTGGAAGCTATCTTGTGGAGACAAAAAGTAAAGGAAAAGTGGTTGAGTGATGGTGATAGAAATACAAGATACTTCCATAGTATGGCAAATTACAGAAGAAAAAAAAATTATGTGGAAGAACTATGGGCGGATGGGGAGGCTGTGAGAGGTAATTAAGCTATGAAGGAAATGGCTAGACTGTTTTTTCACCACCTATACAGTGAAGATCATAGCAGAAGACCGAAACTTGATGAGCTCGATTTTAAACAGCTTAGTAAAGAGAGCAGGGTTGGGCTGGAGATTTCTTAACTTGATGAGCTCGATTTTAAACAGCTTAGTAAAGAGAGCAGGGTTGGGCTGGAGATTTCTTTCACTGAGGAAGAGGTCCGGGGGTGTCTTGATGTGTGTAACGGAGACAAAGCTTCGGGTCCTGACGGATTTAATATGAAGTTTTTCTAAATTTTTTGGGATGTCATTAAGAAGGATGTCATAGCAGTGTTCAACGATTTTCACATATCAGGATCCTTTCTTCAATCTCCCAATACTTCTTTTTTGGTTATTATGCCCAAGGTGATTGATGTGAAGGAGATTAAAGATTTTAAACCTATAAACCTTGTGGGTAGTATTTATAAATTGATTTCCAAGGTTTTAGCGAAATGCATGACTAGTGTTCTTGGCGAAGTGATTGGGGAGAATCAAAATGCATTCGTGGAGGATAGGCAAATTCCCGATGCTATTATGATTGCTAATGAGGTGGTGGATGAAATGGTAGGACAGAAAAAAGAAAGAATTATTTGCAAAATTGATGTGGAGAAAGCTTATGATCGAGTTTGTTGGGATTTTGTGGATTACATGCTAATGAGATTGAGGATTGGGAGTAGATGGAGGAAATGGATTAGATGCTGCATCACTACTACTTCTTTTGCTGTATGGTGAATAGCGGGATCTTCGTCATTATTTACAGCTTCAGGAGGGCTTAGGCACGGGATCCCATCTCCCTCTTTTATTCCTTACTATGATGGAGGATTT